TCTCTCTTCTTCTTCTTCTTCTTCTTCTTCTTCTTTTTCTTCTTCTTCTTCTTCTTCTTCTTCTTCTTCTTCTTCTTCTTCTTCTTCTTCTTCTTCTTCTTCTTCTTCTTCTTCTTCTTCTTTCTTCTTCTTCTTCTTCTTCTCTTCTTCTTCTTCTTCTTCTTCTTCTCTTCTTCTTCTTCTTCTTCTTCTTCTTCTTTCTTCTTCTTCTTCTTCTCTTCTTCTTCTTCTTCTTCTTCTTCTTCTTCTTCTTCTTCTTCTTCTTCTTCTTCTTCTTCTTCTTTCTTCTTTCTTCTTCTTCTTCTTCTTCTTTCTTCTTCTTCTCTTCTTCTTCTTCTTCTTCTTCTTCTTTCTTCTTCTTCTTCTTCTTCTTCTTCTTCTTCTTCTTCTTCTTCTTCTTCTTCTTCTTCTTCTTCTTCTTCTTCTTCTTCTTCTTTTTCTTCTTCTTCTTCGCGTTCGCCAGCTGTAAACTTCTGCGGACAATTCGGATTGTTCATCCACTTCTGGACTCTAGCCCTATTCTAGAAACGGATGTTGCGTGCACATCCGTTTTACAGGTCTGACTAATTTGCATGCGGACTATTGATTCCTAGCCTCTCATGCACATGTACTTCGACTTCGAAGAAAGCTTCCAGTTAGTCGACTCTTACGACATGGTTGTGGGCAGGCAGTAGGTCTATTCTTGTATCCCCCTACCCCACCTTTAAGGGGACCCTGTAATCCATTTGGGGAACACACGTCTGTGAATCTTGAATAATTCAGAAGCAAGGTTAAAAAATTTATTTATGCCTCTGGGATATGGTTTTACATAAGAATCTTTGCAATTTATTGGATAATGCAAAATTACCCACATGTTTTAGAAGAGCGGGAACTCGAAGAAAATAGCAGTCTGAGACATTCATCATTTGATAGTCATGCTATGATTTGATTTGATTCAGGAAACCCACATCACAGCACTTGGGGCATTCCCATTAGCGCTCCGTCCCTATCTTCAGCAGCCAGTGCAGAGTTCCAATAATAATGATGCCAGTAGCATTTTGATTAAACATCCGTCCCGCCTTTCCTCTGAGCCTCGAGCATCTGCCAGAACCCCTCGTCACACCCCGCTGCATCAATCTCACCAGACTGTGGTGATCCGTCTGCTCTTTCGAACTGTACACGCTCCCACACAAGGCACTAACCACGTCTGCCTTATCATGCATCAGTATTCTATCAAGTTGTACAGAGCCAGCCAGTCTATCAGCCGGTTTATTTCCATACATACCGGCATGCCACTCTGCAGGAAGAATGCCTGTCCTGACCTTAGGATCATGCTTTGAGAAGATGTATTGGTCAACAAAAAATTATAGGTATAGTACCGTATGTCCAGCACGAATGAAAACGCGGAAAAAGATCTTTCGCTTTTACCCCTACTACTACTACCACCACCACAACCCCACCTCCAAAACCCATCACCACTAATCTACCACTGCAACTACAACTACTGTTATTACTAATACAACAACTACTTCTAATATGTTATACAATGTTGATTATAAAGATAATATTTTTCAAGCGAACGAAAGAAGAAGAAGAAGAATTGTTATGCTAAACATTGACAGTATTAGAAACTCATATACTTAAAATAGACACCACTAATATAATAAAGAGGGACTTCTTGTTATGCTTGTATTCAAGGGTACGCAATACTGGCACCTTTTTAAAGCATACATCCTAATACTATGGTAATAGATGCCTTTCGGTGAATACCGTTTTATTTTTACTATTTTAGACACTTTGCTGAGTACCATCTTTTTGTCTATTATCAATGCTATTAATACTCCTACCATGTTGCTCCTATTGTTATTATTATTATTATGAATGTGACTATTTTTCAGCTCAAAGACAACATACAACCAGTACTGTACATCAGATGTTCACACAATCAGGAGACAATCAACGTGTTTGATGACCTAACACTGACCGACGGGAGAATCAGCCTGGTCAGTATGTTTGCTACTGGACATTGTGTTTCCATTTGTATGTTGAATTAAGAATCGACATCACAGCACTCGGGACACCCCCTATAAGCGCTCTGTCCCCATCTTCAGCAGCAAGAAAAGAGTTTCAGCTCCGATGGCACCAGTCACTGTCTGACTGTATATCCGTCTCGCCTTTCCCCTGAGTGGTGAGCGCCGGCCAGATTTCCTGATAACTCCTCGCAGCGCCATTCTCCTCAGACCGTAATGATCTATCTGTGCCTCCGCACTGTTCACTCGCTCCCAAAGAGTTCTCACAACATCCAACTTGACATACATGAGTTTTGCATTTGTATTTGTCGTTAGGAATCTTTCCTTGTATTATTATTATTATTATTATTATTATTATTATATTATTATTATTATTATTATTATTATTATTATTATTATTATTATTATTAATGCTGGGTAATACTCATAGGTATCTGTCCGTTCATTTCTATTTTTCAGTATTTGTTTATTTGTTGTAGTTATTGGGATTTGTTAAGTTTATATGTATAATTGAGGGTCAGTCAGTTTCTATTTATTATGGTAAATCTGTCAGTTTATATTTGTCACTGTGGATTTGTAAGTTTTTATCTATTATTGCAGATATCTCATTTTATATTTATTACTGTGGATCAGACGAATGTTAGGAATAAAGCCAGTCTTACAGGTCATTAAAGAACAACACTTGAAGTAGTTTGGACACCTAACAAGAATGCCCTGCTACTATCTGCCACAGTGAGCCACACTAAAACGTTACAACGGGTATAGAGCGAGTGAGTGATGGTATTAAGAACAGCTTTACAGAAATGAAAATCTGTCTAAATCTGTCTTAATAGTGCTCTTGACAGAGCCCATCAACGAACATTACATCTCCTCCCGACACTTCGATGAGGTACAAGGTGAAAGATGAAAAGAAAAAAACAACTGTGGATCTGTCAGTGTATATGTATTCTGTTTTATATTTACTACTGTGGATGTGTCAACTTATATTTTATAATGTGTATGTGTCAGTTGATATTTGTTACCGTGAATCTGATAGGTTATATTTTATATTGTGGATTTTTCGTTTATGTTTATTACTGTAGATCTGTTATTTTATATTTATTACTGTGAACCTGTCAGTTTGTATTATTACTTCTTCTTCTTCTTTTTCTTCTTCTTTTTCTTCTTCTTCTTCTTCTTCTTCTTCTTCTTCTTCTTCTTTTTCTTCTTCTTCTTCTTCTTCTTCTTCTTCTTCTTCTTCTTCTTCTTCTTCTTCTTCTTCTTCTTCTTCTTCTTCTTCTTCTTCTTCTTCTTCTTCTTTGCGTTCACCAGCTGTAAACTGGTGGAAAGTTCTGGTTGTTCGTCCACTTCTGGACAGCAGTCTTGTTCCAGAACCTGAGTGCTGGGTGTGCATCCGTTTGACAGATCTGACACATTTGAATGCAGACTGTTGGTTCCTTACCTCTCAGGCAGATGCACTCAGACTTCGAAGATAGCTCCCAATTAGTTCACTCTTACGACATGCAGAATCTGTGTACTAGACTGTTTTTTGTTTTCATAAAATACGACCTATTCTTCTGTTTGTCCACATCTCCAGAGACTCGTTTCGATTTTCTAACTGCTTGTTCATTGTCCAAGTTTCTGCACCATATTGTATCACTGAGTATATCCCTCTAGCTGACTGACTGACTGACTGACTGACTGACTGACTTTCTACCCCACCAGGACATCACACAAGCGATAAACACCCGATGACACAAAGTGCCACCATGTGGGTGAGAATCACCGTGGAGAGGTCCCAGAAACCGCGTTCAGCCTTTAGGCTATATTTATGGCCAGGCTATATTGCGGCCCCTGGCAAGAACCAGAGTAGAGCTTCAAATAACGAAAAATTCCATCCTAAAAAGGACGAGAAATATCTCTCTAGCTATCAGTAATTTGTGCATCTTATTGAAGACAGTTTTTGCCATTCCTATTCTCTTTTTGATTTCTGTTTTGCTTCTTCCATCATCTGTTACTACGTTTCCTAGATAGGAGAAACTTGTTATTTGTTTTAATAGCTCTCTGTTTTCTGTTATGTTTACTGTTGGCAGCTCTTTTCTGTTGTTGATTACCATAGTTTTTGCTTTTCGAATGTAAATGACTAAACAGTCGGCTCTGTGGCTAAGTCTATGCGAACGCTTCGTAATGCCGGGATGCCGGGTGGGATCCCAGCTGTGGGCCATGCGCCTTGCGTTGGTTTCGACAGTGGTGTCAAGAAAGCTGACCGTCCAGAGGCAAAGGCAAACTACTGGCCGTAAATGTGCCTAGAAAAACCACATAGTGTGGGTTCTGCAACGTCCTATCAGGGATACGCAACTAACCAATGACTAATCCACTACACTCCGCCTGTACTAACAGTTAACTAACCATTGCTTTCACAGTTTGTATTATCTCCCCATAGGTTCGCAGTTTGGCCTCGGCGCGGTCGGGTCTTCCGGTAGGGATATTTCGCCTCACAACCTTCGACCACACAGAGATGTTCGACCACCACAGCCTCCATGACTACAGAGTTGATAGAGGTCAGACCATACTCCTAGAGGTCTGGGACGGCTGGAGCGAGTTCTTAAATCTGTCCATTATGGGGTTTACCCCACAGGTGAATATGACCTGATGCTGCTGATGCTGCTGCTGCTGCTGCTGCTGCTGTTGTTGTTGCTGTTGCTGTTGTTGTTGTTGTTGTTGCAGATGTTGTTGTTGTTGTTGTTGTTGTTGTTGTTCTTCTTCTTCTTCTTCTTCTTCTTCTTCTTCTTCTTCTTCTTCTTCTTCTTCTTCTTCTTCTTCTTCTTCTTCTTCTTCTTCATCTTCTTTTTCTTTTCTTCCCTTTCTTCTTCTTTTACTACTACTACCACCACAACCACCACCACCATCACTACCACCACCACCACCACTACTACTACCACCACTACTACTACTACTACTACTACTACTACTACTACTACTACTACTACTACTACTACTACTACTACTACTACTACTACTACTACTACTACTACTACTACTACTACTAACTTCTCCTTCTTCTTCTTCTTTCACCTATTATAAAGCCATAGTTGTTCTTCGTTTAAGCTTTAGACTTGGGGTTTGTGTACACATCCAATTTACAGATATGGCTTATTTGCGTGCAGACTGTTCATTCCTTGGATCTCGGTTGAATGCTCTTCAACTTGGAGAGAAACGTCGATTTTTGTCTATGAGTGGCCAAGTTCCCTGTTGGGAACTATTCATCTAGAGAGATATAGCTAAGTATTGACCAGTTTAGACCCTGGCTATCGTGTGCCGCCACGTGCAGTTTAGCATCTCAGGATGACCAGCCATTGAAGTTCGCGGCTTAAGGTTAATGAACATAGTTTCATATAACCGACATACAGAGCCCTTTCATCTTGATGCGATTTAGCAGAGCCATTAATATTATTTCCGAGTTCACCGGTTGTAAACTCCAGCGGAAAGTTCAGGTTATTCGTCCACCCTAGGATTTTAGTCTTGTTCCAGAGTCTGAATGTTGCGTGCCTCATTCGTTTTACAGATCTGGTTTATCCGTGAGCAGAATATTGGTTCCTTGCCCATCTGGCAGATGCACTCCCACTTCGAAAGGGGAAGGGGCCGCTATTTGTCGATTATAAGGACATGCTTGTTGGTGATCAGGCGGGGGAGTCTTATCTCCCCACTCCCCCGACCCTAAAACCCCACATATGGAAGTCCTTGAAGCCACACGCGGGAAATAACACTTCAGCTCCTCATCCGTGTTGCTTCACAGGTGATGGCACTCTTGGATGTCGACGAGGCCGTGGCGCGTTACCAGCTCAAAGTTGCCTTGTTTGTCGCAGCCCATTTTGGACACATAGATCTAGCCAGGTGTGTGCTCAAGCAGGGCGTTGGCTCCGATGAGCCCACGGGTTACCATCCGGCAAGGATGTGGTGTCAGGTAGGCCGTTCTTCTAAATGAAATGATATGTTTTAGCTGGTCTCATGAATGAGGGAGTTGTCTTTGGTGGTAGTTATGATGATAATGATATACTCGGCTGCGGATCTGAAAGTGGTGGGTTCAAATCCTAGTGAGTCTAACCTTATTTAAAAACATGACCGGGGCTATTTGATGATGTCGAAATAACAGACTCCTTGAAGATTCGAACCAAGAACCTTCAGGGTGGCAGGCTAGTGTAAAGAATTTCTAAATGACGATCATATAGGCGTAAAAGACCCTGGTGCCTTTTTAATATCCTACCCCAAACAGGGAAAATCCACAGGTCACGGGACAATCTAATATTTCAGGGGGTGGTAATTAGGCTGCATGCAGTCGTCAGACCTAGGCTGCAACCTCTCGTGGGACGTTGGTGGGTTGGGGTTAGGGCCAGTTCTAGATGTTTTGGAGCGCCCGGCTCTCTAGCGAAGTTGGTTAAACCTGACTTTCGCGGCGGCCGGGTGACGAACTCCTTGTGGTCCGGGTTCACTCCCGGGGGTAGGCAGAAAAGCCACATTTCTCCCAGATTAACGGTACCTATAATGGAATCAAGGCCGAAGGGTTGCGATATCCATAGTACCGAGCCAAAGGGTTTACAACTCATGGTTTCTGGATACGTTAAAAAAAAAAAAAAAAAAAAAAAAAAAAAAAAAGATGTTTTGGAGTCATTAAAAGCATCAGAAAACGGGGAAACCCAGTCTTACCACCCACTAAAATGTTGGACTGTCCTGTGACGTCGTCTGGGGTAGGATATTAATAAAGAACTGGCCCTTTTTCTACATCTTTAGACGTACTGGAAACATGGGGATAGACTTTTATTTCATTTCGCGGTCGGCATTCGGTGGGTGATGTGGTCAATATCACGCAGGCCGCCTTCACTTCCCATGACTTTACCTGGTATAAAACTTAACACTGGAAACCAAAGATTCTTTTGACAAATGTCTGACTTCGTTCGGATTTGACCCCACCACGTTCCGATCGGCAAGCGAGCTTCTAGCCGCTAAACTAATAGTCCAGAAAGAACTGGTGCCTCTGCTGAGTGCTAAGTGTCCAAAGAAGATGCCGGTAAGTATAGTAAAGTAAGGTAAAGAACCTTTTCACACTTTAGGCGCATTGGGCAAATGGGAAGAGCATCCAATATCTTTACAGACCAATCGACACTAGGTGGGTCATGTGGTCAGCATTACGCCGGCCGTCTTTACTTTCCCAGGACAGCCATCCTGGTACCCATTTTAGGCTGAAAGATGCCGGTCTTCTTCTTCTGCCTCTTTATCCCCCAATGGAGCATAGGTCCTCAACCAACTCACACCAAGTCGTTCTATCCTTCGCCATTGCATGGACCTCTCCCCATGTCCTCCTCCATCTTTCTAACTTCATTCTCCAGCTCTCTTCTCCATGTATTTTTTGGCCTTCCATTATTCCTATGCCCCTGTGGGTTCCAATGCAAAGACATTTTCTCCACACCGTGTCATACTTCTTCTATTTGAAGAGCCTCCCCTCATCTTGGTTGGCTGGATTTTATTTGCTTCTCTGTTTGACTTATCCATGGTTTGTTGGTTTTTGTGGCTATGGTTTTTACAGGATGAGGTAGCCAACCTCAAGCCCAACCCTACCCTTAGTCGCCTCTTACGACATGCCTGTTAGGGTGCAGTGTCACACTCACCATAAAATATATATTGTAGCAACCATGAAAAAAAAATGGATCCCTTGGGTGTTCCTGCTATCATATTCGTGTTTTTAATGTTAAAACCAGAGGAGCAGCTGGCCGAACGGTTGAGGACATGCAGCTCTCCCGCGGAAGTGCCGGGTTTCAATCCCCAGTCAAATCGTGGATGTTTGTGTGTTGGGGACAAATATAATTTGTAACTGCACAGTCCTTACACTAGCACTAGTGCTAGTCTTAACGTCCTTGCATGCTCAGGTCTAAATATACCCTCCCTATTTATACACAGGCATTGGTACTCTGAAAAATGAGTGCTTAGAAGGGCCGAATGTCAGACAGGCCTGTGTGCCCAATTTGTAACCCTTTTAAAATAAAGATTGTTCGTTCGTTGTTCGTTCGTTCGTACATACAAATAATAAATACAGACAGTAATTGGTAGTAGCAGCAGTGATTAAACCACCTAGCATTGTCACAGTTTCTTGGTGCTTTAATAATATCCTACCCCAGATGACGTCACAGGGCAGTCCAACATTTTAAAGAGTGGTAAGACTGGGTTTCCCCGGTTTTCTGATGTTTTTATCCACCCCCCCCCCCCCAAACTCACCTACGTCCTACGAGACAGTGAGGGGGTATTTCGAAAACTGAGTTTATTACATGGGCTGGGGGGCGAGAGAGGCATACGAATTTTTAGAAAGGTTTATATTGGGCACGGTACAAAACAAGGTTAGTAAAGCACTGTTCTAGACGTAATCAACCCTACAAATAGCGCTCATACCAAAATGTACTCGGATAAGTTAAGTTGAGTCATGAATTGACATCACAGCACTGGGGGAGTTCTCATATGTGCCCCGCCCCATCTTCAGCAGCCAGCGCAGAGTTCCAATAATAATGGTACCGGTCACAATCTGGTTATATGTCCGTCTTTCTTCTGAGTGTAGTGAGCCGGCCAGACCCTCTGTCACACCCAGGTGCTTCATTCTCTCCAGACCCTCTGTCACACCCAGGTGCTTCATTCTCTCCAGACCGCAATAATCTAGTTTTTCTCTCGACTTCGTTTATTGTTCCCAAAGGGCCCTGACCACATCTGCCTTCTTATGTATCAGTTCGCCACCCAGTGTTGAAGATTCAGCCAATCTGGTTGCCACTTCGTTCCCCACCACGCCGGCATGGTCTGGAGAACAGATCCGAAGTGTGCTCACGATAAGTACATTCAGATAAGCCTAAAAGTGTAAACCTTTCTTAATATTTTGAGACACCAAAAGTATATATCTATAAAACACTTTTCTATAAAAAAAGAAGATTAATACCCTGGCAACCATTCTCGATGATCTTGTACATTCTACATCCCCAGAAACAAGGTCACGTGGACAGCCTCAAATGCCCAGTACACGAAGCGACTCTGTCAGGCCAGGTTGGAGTTTTAAGACTTTTCGTCAACTTTGACATCACCTGTCTCAAGGCCAAGGACGGACATGGCCTGGAACCTCTAAACCTCGCTCTAAGACATAAGGTCAAGAACTGCGCCTCCTTTCTACTCTCCAAACAATGGACGAGAGTTAACGTCACCAAGGATTTAACTCTTCACGTTGCAACATTAACCAAAATAAGGAAATGGTGCGAACGCGCGAAAGAAAGAGCTCTAGTGAAATATGGGCCGGGGAAAAGTTCCCTGAAACGGCGAAGATTCAACACTGGGTCACTGGTGATTCACGGGGTTGTCCTAGACGGCTTTTCTAAAAGTCCAATGACTGGCAGGTCTAAAACAGAAGTTCTCAAAGACAAAAAAGCGTGAACAGGACCCAGAAACACGTACGACCAGGTTACCAGTGCCTTTAGAAGAGCATCCTGGGTCAACAATTGACCCCGAGCGCTATTTCCGGTCCGTTTTGGTCGCTCAAGATGCTAGGCTCCGACAGAGGCCACGTAAGCATCCGCTGCGTTGGCATAAATCGTCTACTTCATCGCAAGTTTCCAAAAGCGGAAGTGTTGCTAAGGAGACGGGTAAGCTGGGCTCGTAAAAGAGTAAGTAAAAGAGTAAAGTATCTTTTTCAAGGCCTTTCAGACGTAATGGGTAAATATGGCTAAACCTATATGTTATAGACCAAACGGCACTTGGTTGGTGATGTGGTCTGCATCACGCCGGCCGCCTTTACTTCTCAAGACTGTACCTGGTACCCACTCAAGGCTGGGTCGACCTGTGAGCCAAGGTCATCTTTGAAAAACGTCTGGCCCCTGTCAGGGACCGAACCCACGACCTTCTGATCCGCAGGCAAGCGTCTAGCCGCTAAACTACGACGGTTCCCCGTCAAAAAGTAGATTCGCTATTTAATTTAGTGTACACTGACTGACTCAAGCTGGTCATCCTCCGCCACATTCTGTAGGCTTCAGTGGATGCTTTTAGCTAGGACAAAATCGGAATTGCAGGCTGTGAAAACCAATTCACATCAAGAAGGGAATGAGAGTGAAGGAAGAAATGACTGCAGAAAGGATAAGAGCTGAGTTTCTGAGATAAACAAAAACAGACTAAATTCAGATGTTGCCAACAACGGTCCTGAAATCCTATGCTATTATTTTTGGAAGACTTTCCTTAACTCTTGATGTTTTAAAGCTCCATACTGGCTGTTGCCAAGAGCCCTTCTTCTTTTTCTGCTTCTTATTCTTATGAAAACGATATTCTTATTACCAATTTTGTTGTTGTTGTTGTTATTGTTGTTGTTGTTGTTGCTGTTGTTGTTTTTGTTTTTGTTGTTGTTGTTGAAAATATGAAGTGATGACATGAAAAGTTTCTACATCGACACAGACTTACTTTAGCCACTGCTGCCTATCAAGTAATGGATCGCAAACCGTTCCTCCCTACGTCGCTTCTGATTTACACCGATAAACAAGTTTTTGTGATAAACTTTACCGTTTTTTTTTTTTTCAATTCCGTTTTTAGTTTCATACAACTCGGAGTAGTGTTGACTCACTGACTCTGTATTCTCTTCTTTTGTCCATCTTCTTCTTCTTCTTTTTTTCTTCTTCCTCTTCTTTTTCTTATTCTTTTTCTTCTTATTTTTGTTCTTCTTCTGTTTCTTCCTCCTCTTCTTCTTCTTCTTCTTCTTCTTCTTCTTCTTCTTCTTCTTTTTCTTAATCACCTTCATCTTTTTTTCGTAGCGTTGTTATGCTTTCAAAACATCTAATAACTGTTACACCCCATTCCACTGTTCAGGTTTCAAGAAAGCAAACTACATCTTTTTTTCGAGCGACCTCAGCTTCGGGTCTCGGCGTAAAAACAGGAGAGCTTCGAAATTAAAAAGTCAAACTGTACCTTCGGAAACAGCTTCTACAGATGAGATCTTTCTGGAAGAAAAGATTTCAATGGCTTCAAAGAAACGTAAAAAGCGTTATAGGACGCCCTCGGCGGTTTCGCCAAGGATAAATACGACCAGAAGCTCGATGCAGCTACCACTGGGCAGCTTCGAGCGGTCTCCCCGGCCTTTCTTTTACCACCAGGGTGTCCGCGAGGATGAGTTGATAGAAGCAGCTCTCCGACTTGTGGCGAGATACAAGGGAGATTCCAGCCGTGAGAGGGCCATTAAGTCTTTGTCCCTAGCGAATTCTTTCAGCGAAATGCCTTGGCTGTGTAGAGTCAGGCTTGCGTTAAACGTGACCTGGCGTTCACTTCAAAGGAGCCTACCAGTGATACAGTAACTCGGAATAGTTTTACTCGTGTGCCTGTGATTTCTACTTCTTCTTCTGCTGCCGCCGCCGCCACTTCTCCTCGCCCTACTCCTCCTCCTCTTCCCTCTTCCTTCTTCTTCGTTTTCTTCTTCTTTCATAATTAGTTATACTAGTAGTAGCAGTTGCAGCAACAGCAACAGCAGCAGAAGTAGTAGTTTTTCCTGTAGCGGTAGCAGCAGCAGCAGTAGTAGTAGTGGTAGTATTTGGTCATTGTTATTACTTTTTCTTTTTCTGCTTCTTTTTCTTCCATAAGCAGTTATACTAGTAGTAGTAGTCACAGCTACAGCAACAGCAGCAGTGGTAGTTTTTCCTGTAGCGGCAGCAGCAGTACATGCAGTATTAGATCATTATTACAGAAAAGGCAACTGCAGTTGTGCTCTGTATCTGTGTATGCCTTTGTCTTTTGTTATTACGTGTGTTGGTATGCACGTGCATTGTCATAAACTACCTTTAAAAACAAGTTCTTAGGAAAACAAGCAATCTAGGTCATAATTTTGCCTTATAGTTTTAATTCATATAACATTATTTGTAATTTCATATGCAAGTATAATTTAATATACAATATGTCACTCATATTTCAATATTACTTAAATAGTCATATATTTTTGTATGTGTGTTTCAATATTCACACAACAATTATTATTACACTGTATATGGCCTGACATCTTTACTTAAACATATATGGTTGTACATTGATACAGCAGTGTACTGTCGTAATAATTTGTGTGTATATATCACCATCATGTGCCCTGCCAACAAGCGTAGGCGCTCATGCGTCTCCACAGATCACGATCCCTGGTTGCCTGGAACAGCTCTCTTGATGATATCCCTCCATGCCATTGTTTTAGCTCTTCCTCTTCTTGGTCTGCCTCTATCTCCTTTTCCACCGATCTTTCCAGTTGTCGCAATGTTCCCAATGTCTCTCTTCTCATTATTTGGCCAAAGAACAGTGTTTGTCTCTTTCTTATTGTTGTTTACAGAGATCTGCTTTCATTAGCTTCTTTCAAACAATCGTTATTAGTTACTCTGGCCGTCCAAGATATTGGTAACATTCATATCAGAAACCTCGTCTCTGTTGCATCCAAATTCTTCTTGTTTACAGACATTCCAAAATTCGCTGCCATACAGCAGAGCAGGTTCTATGTAACATTTTAGCAGCCTCTTTCTGACATTAAATTATTCTGTAGAATAAAATTGAACATCAAAGAAACAAAATGAGGTCGTTTAAAGCAAATAAATAAAAAAAAATGTAAAGGAATCTTATTAGATCGCTTTTGAAATAAGATGGAGTTGTTCTCTTACTTTTTTTTTGTATTTGGCCAGAACACACTAAAGAAATCTGGACAATCCAATGGTTATGACTACTATATTATCGCTTTCAAGGAAATGCAGTAATGAGCTGTAATCATTAACAGTTCATAGCTAGCCCCTCTAACTTAGCATTCTTCTGGTAATAAAAGAGTTAAGGAAACAAAAGTGATAAAATGAGTTAATGTGACAACTAGAGTCAACATAAAGACTTGAGAAAAGCATTTAAAAAACGCAAATATCAACAAATTTAAGGTGCACTGCTTGGTAATGAAATTCAAGGTGCACTGCTTGGTAATGAAATTCAAGGTGCACTGCTTGCTAATGAATGAATTAATAATCAACAACAAATGTTTATTAAAAGGGAGTGTAGAAATAAAGAATAAAATGGTACGAGAGAATGACTCATGTGAAACTCTGGCACAGAACTAAACAACTTTGAGAGAATGACTCATGTGAAGCTCTGGCACAGAACTAAACAACTTTGAGAGAATGACTCATGTGAAGCTCTGGCACAAAACTAAACAACTTTGAGAGAATGACTCATGTGAATCTCTGGCACAAAACTAAACCACTTTGAGAGAATGACTCATGTGAAACTAGCACAGAACTAAACAACTTTGAGAGAATGACTCATGTGAAACTCTGGCACAGAACTAAACAACTTTGAGAGAATGACTTATGTGAAACTAGCACAGAACTAAACAACTTTGAGAGAATGACTTATGTGAAGCTCTGGCACAGAACTAAACAACTTTGAGAGAATGACTTATGTGAAGCTCTGGCACAGAACTAAACAACTTTGAGAGAATGACTCATGTGAAACTCTAGCAAAGAACTAAACAACTTTGAGAGAATGCCTTAGGTGAAGCTCTAGCACAGAACTAAACAACTGTTGGAGAATCAAGAGGTGGGGAAATGATGTTTGTACTGGATGTGCGTGTGTGTGTGTGTGTGTGTGTGTCTGCGTGTAGCGGGTGTGTGTAGAATACACAAAGATGTTGCTCTAAAACTTGGCACCTGAAAATGCTGAGTTGTAATATGTATTCCGTCAACAGAGGAGCAGTCTAGCCTGTTACAACCTCGGTCAAGACAACGCCCTTTGGGACACAGGGAGATATGGACTGTGCGATAGCTTTCATCAAGACTACTGCTCTTGTAATATATGTTGTCTAAAAAGAAGGATTGAAGAATAAGAATCCCAGACTTCCTTTTTCTTAAACTTCTCGCTGTGCACTGTAGTGAGCCTATTCGGATTCAGACTTGATTTAGAAGAAGAACGGAGTACTTATGGGTTACTACCCGTGCGCCATTATGTTGTTCCATTGTTCAAAACTCAAGCCCCATCCATACCATGTCCAACAGGCTGTTTATTGTCACTAACTCCCTTGTCCTAATGTCTCTGTAACAAGGCGCATTCAGTACGTCTGTCTTGTCTATACTTCTTCTTCCACCAACCACAGTAGACACAGCCAGAGTGCCTAGAATGACATTTAGATTAATAGTCTTTGAGCTATCTTCTCAATACCATTAACACGCTATTGACCAGTGCCTCTCTCTGCTTCTTCTTCTTTTTAGTCGCTCTATTTCTACCTTGGGGTGCAGAGGTTTGCCAGAGAGATCACCAGGCGTCTCTATCAGCAGTTTTCTTTCTGGCTTTCTTCCATTCCAGTCCTCTGTCAGGGACTGTCGGATGTTGTCTTCCCAGCGCACCCTGGGTCGTCATGGAGGTCTGGTTCCCTGGTTCTTAGCCTCCAATGCCTGCCATGGTGGCTGATTTTCTCCCATTCTGCAAACATGCCTAAACCATCGTAACTGTGACTGATCCACTCGGGTTTGTAAGGACTGGGTATCAAGATCTTGACGTATTGCCTCATTGCGGACTTTGTCCCTTCTAGTCACTTGGACCACCTTTCCCATTTCTGAGACCTGAAGCTGGCTAACCAGTTGTTCTCGTACTTCCTAATGCGGTGACCCTTTAATGCAGTTCCTCATGTTGTGGCGACCCCAACCAAAAAATGTTTTTCGTTGCTGCCTCATAACTTCAGTGAACTTGTGTTTTCCGAAACTCTTTGACGGCTCCTGTGAAAGGGTCGTCCGACACACAAAAGGGTCATGACCAACAGGTGAGAACAGCTGCTGCAAACCTGGTGAAACGTTTCTGGCTGTTCAATATGTCAGCCCTGTCCTTACTTTTTTCCTCTACCACCACCGCAGACATGGCCAGTCTATCAGCTCTTTTATTTCCTTTCACTCTGACGTACCCTGTTGTGTACAGCAGCAGATGAAAAAAAAAGCAACAAGGTAGAAAGGTAATAGTTGTTAGTAACTGTCGCAACTTCATGGCAAACAAGTCACCTCATAATTGCTCTGCTACTGTACCTGATTAAGACCAAATAAAATGCTCTTCACTGTCCCTTTTTGAAGCCAGTGAAACTTATCAGTCCCGGCACAATTTAGTGGTTTACACGCACACAATAAACACATAAGGTAGCCACCAGGGGTGACAACAGTTTCTTACAAGAATTGTAGTATATCATACATGGAATTAGCGGTCACAAGAAACTAACAAGTGCACATGCAATACTGCATAAGGCACACTACCAGCTCTTATATAAAGTGACCACCTGCAATTTTCTAATACGCATTTCATAATATAAACAGTGTGGGCACAGACAATAAGGACCTCATGTTAAATCCACAGCTCACAGTGTTGCACTAAGCATTCAGAGCAGTAGGTGGACAGCACAACCATACACAATAGGCAATGATGTCAAATAACTGTCTACTGTATTCGAATTCATAAGTTAGTAATCACTTTTAGTCGCAGACTTGTGTTACTTCAACACTTTCTATTATATATTTAGTCTCTGGGTCTTCAATGAATTCTCTTCTTCTGTTGTGTTTTTTTTTTTAAGCATTAACCGGATGTAAACTCTAGTGAAAGTTTCTGGTTGTTCGTTCACTTCTAGATTTTGGTCTTGTTCCAGAACGTAAGTGTTGCGTGTCCGTCTGTTTTACTGATCTGGCTCATTTACGTGCAGCCTGTTGGTTCCTCGCCTCTTCAGGCAGATGCACGGCGCTTTTAAAGCAATATTATTAGAAATATAGAACAGAAATAGATGATGTAGTTAGTGTGATTAAAAAGAATGAATGTAACAGAAGAATCGGACAAAAGAAGTTGCCAATAGAAATTAATCATAGAGTACACCTTCTCCTTGAATACGACATTTGCGACTTACGACATAGGTACTTCGACCAACAACAACAACAAAAACCACACACACACAAATTTAAAAAAAAAAGTAAATAAAGATAGACAAATACATTGGTGGCGTCAAACACTTTGCGGAACTCATGCCTAGAAAATCTTATATAAGCATATAAGCAATAATTATACGTACATAAATAGAACTTCTACGCTTTATGCACAGTTTTTATAACCCGTTCGAATTAAAATAGTTTTTTTTTTTTTAAATTTGAATTTGACTTACGAACAGTTCGACTTATGACCTTTCAGTTGGAACGGAACTCTACCGTAAGTCCGCGAAAACCCTGTTTTCAAAAAGCGTATATTGAATTGTTTTGCACCGAAAATGTTAAACTTAATCTCCTTCTTTGTGCTGTTTTTGTCAGCTATTTCTTCTTATTGTTTACTGATAAAGGCTCGTCGGCATACTTTCCTTGGTTTTCTATATTCTCACTTTATTCCCTATAATGTTTTTGTTTTGTTTTAAATTGAAATGAATTATTCATTCATACATAAGATAAGATGTTTACTAGTTTAATCATCCCCATGTGGGGTGCAAATTTTCGTTATTTGAAGCCCCACACTGGCTTTTGCTGGGGGGCCATGGAAACAGCCGTGCCATAAATATGGCCAAACGGCTGGAAGGGGCTTCTGGGACCTCTCCTCAGGTGATCCTCATCTGCATGGTGGCACTTTGTGTCACCAGGTGTTTATCGCTTGTGTGATGTCCTGGTGGTGTACAACAAGAGAGAGATGAGATGTAAAAGAAATGGGGTGGGGGGGGGGAAAAACCAAGCAGAGACAGTGTCACCAGTGAAAAACTGAGAAAAATAGTAGACAAAGTAGCGGCGAATGATTTCCCAGAACACCACAGAATCAAATGGTTTGGTCACTGTGTCAGAATGAAACAAAATCAGTCAGCAGCTAAAGGGTATCACATGAGGACAGTAGGCTACAAGGCAGGAGACCAACCAAGAAGGAATATTGGTAGAGGGAGTGAAAGAGATCCTAAAGAAATGCAAAATGACATTAAAACACAACTAGCAGAAGACATGAAACTAGAAATAATTCTTCTATGTGACACGTTGCGGCATAAGTAGTAAGTAGGACAAAAGAAGTAGAATTACAGTTTCAAAGCTTTACTGTAGTTTATTTAATTTCATTTTACAGCCACTACAAAAAAAAAAAATGTATTTATATCAAAGAAGGCACGAATAGCCTGGCTAAATATCACATGCCTTATTATTACAAAACTTATGTCAACAACAATATAGAAACAATATTGGCAAAGATTATCTCTCTGTTAGGCACCTGTTCAGTTTCACAGTTAGATAATTTAACAGAACTCTTCCTACTATAAAGTTTGTCAAAATGACTTAGCTTTCTCAATGTCTCCCCCCCCCCCCCCCTCTCTCTCTCTCTCTCTCTCTCTCTCTCTCTCTCTCTCTCTCTCTCTCTTTCTCTTCATTCTCCTGCTTCCTTCATGTTCCACTTGTCTGTCGTTTATATTTATGTTTGCCTCACACTGTGTAGATCGTGGGTTCGTTTCAAGGCTATGTCGTTCAGTTCGCATGTGCAATTTTTACAGATATCCCAGGAGAGCTAAGAAATGTGTGCTTTTGTGCGATGCTATTGGCAAGTGGTTAGCCCCACTGTTGAGAGAAGCCAAACCATAGAGGATTACAAAATAATTTAAAGTCCATCCTCTCACTTTTAACTCTTTATATGTCTAACTGTCATTTCAGCTATGATGTTTAGTGGGAATTTGATCGAAATTCATAATGTTATAGATCAATCGAGACAACATGGGCAATGTTATCATGCCAACCACCTATGCTTTGCAGAATATTTCCTCACATTCCCGGGACGACCTAAGAGCAGATGACACATTTTTAAATCATAGAGTGGACAATTTTACAACAGGTGAATAACATGGGAAAGTTTTGGAGGGATCTGAACAAGAGGATAAAGGTTATGACAGCTTAGCTGAAGGCTGATGCTCCATTTGGGGGATATCTTCTTCTTCTTCTTCTTCTTCTTCTTCTTCTTCTTCTTCTTCTTCTTCTTCTTCTTCTTCTTCTTCTTCTTCTTCTTCTCCTCCTCCTTCTTCTTCTTCTTCTTCCACTTCTTTTTTTTTTGGTTTTTTTGTTCTTCTTCTTCTTCTTCTTCTTCTTCTTCTTCTTCTTCTTCTTCTTCTTCTTCTTCTTCTTCTTCTTCTTCTTCTTCTTCTTCTTCTTCTTCTTCTTCTTCTTCTTCTTCTTCTTCTCCTTCTTCTTCTTCTTCCTCTGCTGCTGCTGCTGCTTCTTCTTCTTCTTTATGTTCACAGGCTGTAAACTTTGGTGGAAAGTACTTGTTGTTTCGTCACTTCTTAAACTTAAGTCTTGTTCCAGAATTTGGGGTTAAGGTGCACGTCCATTGGTGCATGTCAAAAGTGGGGCGGTCATCTTGAAACTACATTATGAGTACAAGTTCTTGTGCACCGTGATGTCATTGCTGAACGCCCTTGACATCATTACCCATAATATTAAAAGGTTACAATAAAATGCTATATTACCGTAATTCTGTCGTACGTTCCCATGTGAAGCCCCCCTCATAATTTTGTTAGTTTATTAATAGTTTATTTCATATATTTATATATTTGAATACAGTAATGAAGTAATTTAAGAATCCGTTTAACTGTTGTGCTGAGTGAAGTTTCTCGGCGTTGTTCTGCTGACGAAGATTAATCACCGCAACGTATTTTGTAATTCTACTGTCCTGTAAAGCTGACATGCTTTTGCTTTTTTTTTTTTTTTCCTAATAATTTTTCCGAATTAAGGGAGATAACCAAGTCCTTCTTCGATCTCATTTCTGTCCCTGGGTTGTCGGTACATGGGTTGGTTACTCCCGCCTTGCAACCTGACATTAGAAAACATATTAGCAATTTCCAGGTCTTTGGTTCGAGCGTTAGGGTCGCTGTTTCTCGGGGAATTACTTCTGGGTTCGTAATTAGCTTGGGGTCTCTGCTCCCAGGTTCTGTCCCCGCCATAAGACGGACCGCTGTGTCTGTTCTTGTTGTTGTTGTCTTCGTATCTAGACGAGTAATCCCCTGTGCTCTCATGGCGGCTGACGTTTGAGGAATTATCGTATCTTTTATTGATATCCCCGCTAACGTTATCTTTGACAGTATCATTCCAATGTGATCCGTAATCCCTGCTGTATTCGTCGTGTCGTCCTTTGACGGCGTCAAAATCCTGAAAAGCGTTACCGTCGGGAAAGTGCTTGGCTTTTCCGGGTGGTGGCTCGTAAAGCTCCTTGTACATTCCAGGAGATTCTTTGGCGTTGTCGTAAGGATCAATGTCAGAAGATTCTGGGCGTTTGTCTGCTTTTGGCTTCAGTTTGACCATTCGGAAGTCTGTTGGCAAGACTTTGACACCAATCATGTGAGGCGGGACTTTGGCGACCGGTCGCCCACTGATGTGTTCCTCTGTGTCGGGTTGAGGATTGGCGCTTCTGCTTTCTAGGTTTGATGCTGAGTGTATCGGAGCTCCAAATCCTTGGGGACTACCCGGGATGTAAGTGTGGGGCGAGCGCGGAGAGCTCATGTTGGACATAGGTGACGCCGGAGATGGCATAGGGCCGGATTGCCACTGCGTGTAGGGCGGCTCAGCGTTATAACCAGGCAGCTCGTGAGGGCGAGGTGAAATTTTTCCGCTCGGGTATCCCTGACCTGCAGAAAGGCGATTTCCTGCTGAAGCTTGTCCTCCAGACAGGCGGGCTTCGTGGACTCCTCCCCCAGACAAACGACTGTTGACGTTATTTCTCATGCTGACCTCCTCATATCTCATTCGAACATCCATAGAGGCTGGGTCCTGCCCACTGTAGCTTTGATCCTGAGAAGGCTGCCCGCTGCCATCTCCCGACATCTGCCGTGTATGCATGATGACGTCAGGTTGACGATAGTACCCGCCCCCAGGAGCACCTCCGTAGTTAGGCTGTTCATACATCCCGTATTCTTTGGGTCCCGGAACTCCACCATAAGGCTGAGATGGTGAAGGCTGGTCTCTGAAGATGTCTTGTGTAAGTATCATAGGACCTGAAGTTCCACCAGACTGAGGTCTCTGGTGATCGTTACGACCAGGACTTTGAACAGGTCCTCCAGGACTGTGAATATGTCCGCCAGGACTGTGAATAAGTCCTCCAGGACTGTGAATAGGTCCTCCAGGACTGTGAATAGGTCCTCCAGGACTGTGAATAGGGCCTCCAAGACTGTGAACAGGGCCCCCACCATACCATTGTCCTGGCTGATGCTCGCTGACTGCTCCCCCGCTGAACTGCTGAGACGGGGGCATCTCATAACCGTTAGGCCCCCGATACACCGAATAATCTCCGTAGTCAGACCTAATGACGTCACCTCGGACCCCACGATCAAACCCACCCTTAGCTTTAGGGGGATCCCCGATACTTTCAACCTTATTGTAATGTCCAGCCGGCATCTGTGCAGAAGCAATCAAAGCCGAAATGTGCAAAGAATTCTCAATAGTATCCAACGCAAAGACATGACAATCTAAAGCCTTTACTCCAGTTGGTCTTCTTACAACACAAATAACAAGTGGAGGGTGAGTGGAAGAAATCAAGAAGTGGAAGGCCTTCTCCACCGGAAACGCATGTTTGTCACTCATCGAACCTTTACTTTCATCCACTGGAACAAACATCGCTTTGGGCTTCCTTTCACTAGAAGTCTTAACTGGAGCAAATTTTGCGGCCTCCACAAAAGTCACACTGGAGTAGTCGAAAAACATTTCAGTTTTCACAGATCCGTTTTCATAGAGCACGACCAGAACTCCATTCTGGACCAGCTTAAGGTTGGCGCTGTGGCCACTTGCTGGGGTCTTACGGTAGGTGAAGTACAAATCCTTCACCGTGTTCTGCAGAACGCTCAGGTTTGTTGGTGGCTTTTGGAGAGCGCTGAAACCCAGATAGGCGCAGTAAAAGCTGGGGCCTTCCATGTCGAACTGCGATATTTTTTCCTCGATGTTTCCTTCTGAGCCGACTTGAGAACCCTTCTTAAGTGAGTCGGTGGGTGGGTCTGAAAGACAGAACAGAAACGAGATTATTCCTGGGCTAATGTATTTAAGTGACAATAGCAATTACATATTGAATTTAATCGTTAAAGGGAGATAATCCTTACTGACTGCATTTACCACCGTTGGGCTGTACAGGACTTGAGGGTTGTGTTGTGTCCCCGAGTCTGTGAGGCAGCGGTTACCAACCGTTTTCGTGTCGCGACCCCGTGTTATAAGGGCAAAATGACCCCAGACCCCATAAACTACCATACACAAACACATACACACGGAGTCAGAAAAAGGAGGAGAAGTAGAAGAAGAAGAAGACGACGAAGAAGAAAAAGAGGGAGAAGAAGAAGGAAGAGGAGGAGGAGGAGAAGAAGAGGAGGAGAAGGAGGAAGAAGATGAAGAAGAAGAAGAAGAAGAAGAAGAAGAAGAAGAAGAAGAAGAAGAAGAAGAAGAAGAAGAAGAAGAAGAAGAAGAAGAAGAACAACAACAACAACAACAACAACAACAACAACAACAACAACAACAACAACAACAACAACAAAAACAACAACAGCCAATGGCAGAACGCTAAGATTTTTGGAAGCGTTCGCGATTCGTCACCTGCGTCCGGAACTCTGTATTCAGAAAGAGATGGTTCAGTCTTTACTGCTGCCCTTGTAAAAACAAGCAGTCATGTTTGATCGTTGTTGAAACTGTACTTCACTTGTAAAGGATTCACTTATTTGCTTCATTTATGTAATTGTTACTGTAGTAAGCACCTGACGAGATACAGCGAAATATGCCAGGCAATAAATTGTGCAATCTATTGTTTGTGTCTTTTTTGTTCAAATTTACAACAGGGGATCATTGCTTTGAACAACAACTGTGTAATAGGGTTACAGAAAACACATCCAATATTGATTTTTCAGTACACAATGATGGAATATAAAATTACATCTGTATGCAGGACGTGACGAAATGGTTCCTTTTTAATAATTTCATAGCTGACCACTTTTCGCCGACCTCACCGAAAGCATTCCGCGACGCTGAAGGAAGTCGCGATCCAAGAGTTGAGAACCCTTCCTTTGACATCCCATGGCTTTTGGCAACCCCCCCCCCCCCACACACACACACACACACACACACACACACACAACCTGATGATTTCTTTGTTATGTTACCAAGTGAAAAAATGGCCTTAATAAAACCTTAGGTTTATGTATAACCTAGATTAGCGGTTCTCAGCCTGTGGATCGAACGATCCTTTTGTAAGAGTCGTCAAAGGCCACAAGAAAATCCATATTCTCTGAAGTTATAAAGTAGCAACGAAAATATCTGTATGGTTGGGTGTTGCCACAACGTGAGAAACTGTATTAAAGGGCCGCGGCATTAGGAAGGTTAAGAGCCACTGTTCTAGAATATATAAAAACTGATCTGCTCACAGTCCAGTGTCTACAGTACATGCTGCAGAATTAACTTCTGTACCCAGTCAACGAGCCAAAACTATAACCGAAAATGTTGACTTACATACCAGTCATTTTTTGGACCACTGTACCAACCCAGCCATTTTGCTTTCAAACACTTGACTGCATATCTGAGAGGTCCATAACTTGGATTCTCCACCAGGGCTGCCCAAGTTGGTACTTTCATTCACATTTGGTCCTACTTGACATTGGCTGAGCAAAACTGTTGTTATTGTTGTTGTTCGTCCATCACAGGTGATGATGACCAGTGCTTTCATCCAATGGTGACTGGGTTAGGTTTTGTGAGTGTGGAGATGGTTTATAAGGGCAAATTGTAGCAGTGAAAGTTCTTGAGCAATGTGGACAGGGAATAGAAGCTGCATCTCTGCAGTGATTTGCTTCAGTGTCTTTCCTGACTTGTCTTTTCTGAATTGCTGCGGCAGTTTTAGCAGCTTCATGGACCACAGCTCCTCGATGAAGAGAGGAACGCCAGGATGAGTGGTCACAAGCAGTGACTTCCCAGATTTTAGAATCAATACAGAAGTCTTTCAGTGTGGTCTAGAGGCTGTCCTTGAAACGTTTCTACTGTTCACCTGAGATTGTTTACCTTTTAGTAGCTCACCACATACAATTCTTTCTGTCAGTCGGTGGTCAGGCATGCGGACTATATGACCTGCCCAACGAAGCTGTGATTGTTTTAGAATCGAGTAGATACTGGACAGTCCAGTTCTGTCAAGGACTTCAGTATCAGGGATCCTGGTTGCCATTTTATGTTCAGCAACTTTCTGAGGCATACTGTGTGGAAGTAGTTTTGCTTCTTATCATGGCGCTGATAAACGGTCCATGTTTCACATGCATAGAGAAGTGCAGGAAGTACGACAGCTTTGTACACTTTGAGCTTCATCTGCAGGCTGTACTTATGGCACCACGCCTGATGTTTTATTAGTTTTAGAAATTTCTCATAAATATTTGAAATTTTGGCATTGTTTAAAACATTTTTTTAAAGCGATTAGGAATGTATTAAGAATAGTCCTTCTACAGTCTCTGGTATAAATGTACCATTTGACGTGACTGGTCACGTGTGCCTTTGTTTCAGTTTTACCGGCCGTTGTTTCAGTTTTACCGGCCGTTGTTTCAGTTTTACCGGCCGTTGTTTCAGTTTTACCGGCCGTTGTTTCAGTTTTATCGGCCGTTGTTTCAGTTTTACCGGCCGTTGTTTAAGTTTTAATGGCCGTTGTTTCAGTTTTACTTACCGTTGTTTCAGTTTTACCGGCCGTTGTTTCAGTTTTACCAGCCGTTGTTTCAGTTTTACCGGCCGTTGTTTCAGGTTTACCGGCCGTTGTTTCAGGTTTATCGGCCGTTGTTTCAGTTTTACCGGCCGTTGTTTCAGTTTTACCGGCCGTTGATTCAGTTTTACCGGCCACTGTTTCAGTTTTACCGGCCGTTGTTTCAGGTTTATCGGCCGTTGTTTCAGTTTTACCAGCCGTTGTTTCAGTTTTACGGGCCGTTGTTTCAGTTTTACCAGCCGTTGTTTCAGTTTTAACGGCCGTTGTTTCAGTTTTACCGGCCGCTGTTTCAGTTTTGACGGCCGCTGTTTCAGTTTTAACGACTAGCCGAGGACTGCCGTCCAGACAACTGACCGATGGTTTTCTTTCATGTGATGATGACCTTCAACCCCACCAGGACATCACACAAGCGATAAACACCTGGTTACACAAAGTGCCACGATTCGGATGAGGATCACCCGAAGACAGGTCCCACCAAAAAAAAACCAGTTCCATCCACAGGTTGGGTTGTATTATGGCCCCTGCAAGAGTCAGGGTGGGGCTTTAACTCTTTGAGTCCCAAGGACCCCATCTTACGTTCATAAATTCCTACCTAGAAGCCATATAAACGCGATGCGCCGATTTTACGTCTTTCTTGACTACCCCTTGGGCTTGTGATGCTAAACCCCCTGGGACTCAAAGAGTTAAAGCATAAATTTGAGTTCCATACTTGGATGCACGTGATTTTAAAAAAAAATGTCTTGTGTCGCAGTTTAACCTTCCAGAGGGCTGTCGAACTAGTACTTTAGTAGCAATTTGGTAATCTTTGACATATGACAATCCAATTAAATGCACGTGTGTGTGTGTGTGTGTGTGTGTGTGTCTGTAGTATGTGTGAGTGAGTGTAAGTGTATGTTGAAACATATTTTAAGAGCGAGGGGCTTTAAATACAAATTTTACAATTTTGCACCTGTTGCTGTGTTTTTGTACCTTTAGGAAAAAAAAATATAAGAATAAAAATAAAAACTATTGAAAAAAAAAAAAATGTTTGTTATTCTTAAAAAAATTTCGACAGCCCTGTTCTCCAACTAAACGGCATAATTAAAATGCAGATAATGGAACTGGCGGGCAACCGCTGCCTATTGGAAATATGTCATGCGCATAAACATAGGCGGTGCCATAATATGTGTATGTATGTGTGGTGTGTGTGTGTGCGGTGTGTGTCTATGTGTGTGGGGGTGAGAAAGGGGTCGGCGGTGGTGGGAAAGGGGGGGGGGGGGGGGGGTAATATGTTCGGCGGCAGCGGGAGGTTTGTGTGAATTAGGTTAATTTGTCATTTATCACTGTTGGGGCGTACAACTCAGGACAGTGCGTAAGTGTGTCGTTGTCAGTTATAACTTATCAGTATGTTCTTCTTCTCCTCTTCTTCTTCTTCTTCTTCTTCTTCCTTTTAGGGTTCAGTTGTCGCCGTGGCCAAGTGGTCAAACCGTTTGCCTTGCGCTCTGAAGGTCTTGAGTTGGTTACATTGAGACGCTGTTCGGTTTACGATTGTAAGTGTTGCGCATATCGCCCGGGAATGTCGCCGGAGCTACAGAGGCCGTACTATGTGCGACGGTCTTGACAGGCAGCACTGTCATGCGGGGAAAGAGAGAGAACGTGGGTCATATGGGTTCAAACCCTGCGCAATAAAGTCGCTCCTCTCATCTTCACTTTGTTAGCGTTCACCGGCTGTAACCTCGGGCGGAAAGTTCTAGTTGTTTGTCCATTTCTGGACTTTGATCTTAACTTGAGTTTTGCGCGCATGTCCGTTTCGTAGATCTGCCTTATTTCTGCCTGGTTCAGCTTTCTATGCAGATGACTGTTGAAAGTTCATCGCTGTATATGTGTGCAAGGAGAGAGGTGATGAATCTGGTGACATATATTTTATAAGAGTTCAGAAATATATAGTGTGTATGAGAGAGAGAGAGAGAAAGAGAGTGAGAGAGGAGGGGGGGGGAGGGGTGGAACAGAACGTTAAGGATGTTAGAAAGTAAGATGTATCACAGAATGTGTATTATCTGAGAGACTAGGTCTCTAACTACGCATGACATCAATCGTGTCATGTGTGTAGCGCCAGTCCTATGTCAAACACCACCCCCCCCCCCCCCCCCCCCCCCAGTATTTCCTCCCTAGAGAGGGAGGGGGCCTTTTGTGTGTGACCAGATAAACGCCAATAAAGAGATAGTGAGATAGAGAGAGAAGGAAGAAAGGATACCGCAAGAAAGGGATGCGAGCTTTTATCTGGAAGGAAAGGGATACCTCTGACCTTGTCTGGTCATACAGATGATAGAGAGATGAGAGAAGAGATTCTGTTGTGGTGTATGATAGATAGTTCCTTTCAATGAGAAGAAGAGGAAGAGATACCTTTACAGAGAGTGATTTCTGAGAGAACTTTTTTTCGAAAAAAGAGAAACCCTGTGAGAGAGAGGGAAAAAATAGTGTGTGTGTCCCGAGCCGAGATAGAGAGAGACCTTTAATTTAGGGGAGGGGAAGCAGATAGTTGTGTGTGTTTCAGATGCGAGATAGAGAGAGAAGAAAGAGAAATGAAGAGATAGTGTGTGTGTGTGCATGTTTGCGAGATAGAGAGAGAAGAAAGAGATATTACCTAGGTGTATGTTTATAGAGAGAGGAAAAAGAACCTTACCAGCAGCATTGTGTTTCTGAATCACACCTGCATAGAGAGAGAAGAAAGAGATAGTTAGGGGAGGGGAAGGAAGAGATAGTGTGTGTAAGAGAAATATAGGGAGGAAGAGGTAATGTGTGTGTGTGCGAGAGATTGTGTATGTGTATGAGAGACTGGGGAAAGAGACAGTGTGTGTGTATATGTGTGAGAGAGGTGATAAGAGAGGAAGAGATAGCGTGTATGAGAGAGAGAGAGAGAGTGGGGTGGGGGGGGGGGGGAGGGATTTAGAAAGTAAGACATCACAGCGTTTCTCTACTAGGTCTCTAACTACGCAACATCAATCGTGTCATTTATTCCAGTCCTCTTCAACCCCCTTTTGTGACTACCAGACGCAAAAAACCCACACACCCGCGAAAGATGCGGCTTTTATCTGGCAAACACACCTCTGACCTTGCCAGGTCATACACATGCGATGTATGATGATTTCTGTTCTTGTATATGATAACCTTTTCTTTCAATGTTTACCTTTACAGAAGTGTTTCTGAAACTTTTTTCGCGGCACTCCTCGGGCAAAAACTCGCGGCACTCCTTTAATTTAGCAGTTTGAAAACTTATCGCGTGCACTCCATGTTGTCTTTAATGCATGAAACTGTTTGGGCGAATTTTGCACATTATTACCTTTATGGCATGGCAACCTCAGCAGCATTGTTCCTGGAATACACCTGCATCACACTCGGCCCTCCATGGCATGCACTAAACTGCTGTCTTCGCACTCCTGGCATGACATTCGCGGCACTCCTGGCATACACTCGCGGCCCTCCTGGCATGCACTCGCGGCACTCCTGGCATACACTCGCGGCACTCCTGGCATACACTCGCGGCCCTCCTGGCATACACTCGCGGCACTCCTGGCATACACTCGGAGGGCCTCCTGGCATACACTCGCGGCACTCCTGGCATACACTCGCGGCACTCCTGGCATACACTCGCGGCACTCCTGGCATACACTCGCGGCCCTCCTGGCATACACTCGCGGCACTCCTGGCATGCACTCGCGGCACTCCTGGCATACACTCGCGGCACTCCTGGCATACACTCGCGGCCTTCCTGGCATACACTCGCGGCACTGCTGGGTGCCGCAACACCCTGTTTGAGAACCGCTGCTTTACAGGACGTTTCAGAACTTAACCCCGCGTTTATTGGCTGCTGTGGATTTTCTAGGCAAATTTTACGCTCAATAATTTGCCATTGCTTTCTTAACGGTCAGCTCTCGGTACCACTGTCGAAACGTGCGCAAGACAAACCGTCCGCAGCAGGGATAGAACCTGACACCCAGACAATATGAAGAGCATTTGCAATGGCTAAGCCACAGACACCGATTCTTTCAATGTTATATATGTATGTGTGTATATATATATATATATATATATATATATATATATATATATATATATATAGATATATAGATATATAGAGAGAGAGAGAGAGAGAGAGAGAGAGAGAGAGAGAGAGAGAGAGAGAGAGGAGAGAAATAGAGGAAGGGCGAGAGAGGGAAGAAGAGGGGAGAGAGAGGCGGCGAGGAATCGAATACGAGCCCTGTGTGACGTCTAACGGCACACACAGGAAGAGGATCACGATTACCATTTGTAAAGCCATAATAGGGAAAAAGTCCAAGAGAAAAAAGCAAGAGATAGACAACGATACAAGTGGGAGGACACTATCGAGATCAATAACAGCAGTCTGACTATATAATGTTTCTACGCCCTCAAGGGGCTTCCACTGTTTATTTATACTGATGAAGAAGATTGCCCACATCAGGAAGAGATTATCCCCATCCTTTGGTTATGTGACGAAAAATTGAAAATTTGAGTACATTGTGATAGTAGGAAAGTTGGACTGCAGGAGAAGTAGAGGGAGACTGAGAGAACAGATGCTGGGACAGTTTGACATCAGGGCATGGAGTTTCATCTGTGTCAGAGTTGACTGAACGTATGTGACTACCAACGTCATACTACATGGAGTTTCATCTGTGTCAGCGTTGATTGAAAGTATGTGACTACCAACGCCACACGACGTGGAGTTTCATCTGTGACAGCGTTGATTGAAAGTATGTGACTACCAACGACACACGACGTGGAGTTTCATCTGTGTCAGCGTTGATTGAAAGAATGTGACTACCAACGCCACACGACATGGAGTTTCATCTGTGTCAGAGTTGACTGAAAGTATGTGACTACCAACGCCATACTACATGGAGTTTCATCTGTGTCAGAGCTGACTGAAAGTATGTGACTACCAACGCCATACTACATGGAGTTTTATCTGTGTCAGAGTTGACTGAAAGTATGTGACTACCAACGTCATACTACATGGAGTTTCATCTGTGTCAGAGTTGACTGAAAGTATGTGACTACCAACGCCATACTACTTGGAGTTTCATCTGTGTCAGAGTTGACTGAAAGTATGTGACTACCAACGCCACATTACATGGAGGCTCACCTGTGTCAGCGTTGATTGAAAGCACACGAGACAGAAGGTTGTGGACAGACATGACTACCAACGCCACACGGCATGTACTTTGAGAAGAAGAAGACTGACCATGCACAAACCACCAAAGCCAAACCGTCTCTGTCTGACAGATGG